TTTTCGACAAACAAAGACGTAATTACTGTTGAGAGCCATGCAGCTTTGCATGCACACGTGGAAAATGATTTGGACAACAAACTTGGAGAAGTCAATGGTCTTGTCTATAGCATTGCCACATCATTGGACAAATCATGCATGGAACAAGAAAAAGAAAAAGGCAGCAGAAATTTACTTGAGCTAAAAGACAAGAAGACTAACCCTAAAAGCTTGCAAAACCATCCAATGGCTTGTAGAGGAGAGTTGGCACGTGTAAACGATCCAATGGTGCTGAGTAGTGCATTGATTGTATAAATACATTTCCTTAGTTCATGTTGCTGTAGAGAAATGACAGAAAGCTGCTTGTAAGGGTTCAAAAACCAAGTTTAACATCAACGAAGAAAATGTCTCTTTCCATCTTTATGTTTCCTTATTTTTTGATTTCCTTTTATGGTATCAGAGCTAGCCATCTTGGTTAAGCTCAGATCCATCCTTTCTTTTCCTCGTTTTTTGTTCTTTCTTCTTCATCATGGCCTCTACCTCAACCCAAAATGAAACCACTATTCACCTGCAAAGCCAACTTATTTCTGAGAAGCTGAGTGACAACAACTTCCTCATATGGGAACAACAAATAGTCACCACACTTCGAGGCTATGGATTGCTTGGCTTTCTTACAGGAGAGATTGAAGAACCAGACAAGATAACCACAGATCCAGATACAGGAGACCCTATGGTAAACAAATCTTACTTCACATGGGTCAAACAAGACCAGCTCATTGCATCTTGGTTATTATCCTCTCTGTCAGAAAATATCTTGATCACCACTGTTGGATTAAGCACATCAAGACAGATCTGGGAATCACTCAGATCTGGTTTTGCAAGTCACAGCTTAGCTAAACAAATGCAACTCAAGCTTGAACTGCAGACTATCAAGAAAGGAACCATGAAAATGAGAGAATATTTTAGCAAAGTCAAAGGTGTTTGTGATCTTTTAGCTGCTGATGGACAGAGAATAGATGATAATGACCAGATATTGCATCTCTTAGCTGGGCTTGGAT